CCAGCATTTGTAAAATTGATCTCTGGTGGCTCACATTGTTGAGTGAAGTTAAGCTGAACTGCCTTTTTGCAATGTTCCAAGCCAATAATTCTGAAATAATACAATTTTTGAACAAGTGTTTTGGGGTTTTCTGCTCAATCTTACACAGTTTAATTTGCACAGTGGATCAACCAAACAGACCTTAGCAGTGTTAGAAATTTGCAGCCAAGGTTTGCGGTTTATACCTGATGGTTGTACTCCTCCTCACTTGTGTGAGGTTTGATATGATATATATATTTCTGACTTTATTATCAATATGTAATGTGCTACCAGGAGAGTACGTACACAAAATCAAGTTTTGGTTGAGATACGAGTTCCTCTCGAAACTTAATTTTAAATTTTAACGAATTTATATTGTTGTGCTCTAAATCGACATGCCTTTGCAAAACTCATGCATACCACCTATTTTTTTGAACTATTATGAGACCTGACTTGGCCTGGAGCCCTGGACATAACCGTTGATGTGATTTAAAATGCTCTTTCTGGATCAATGACAGGTGCTCTGTTTTCGTTCAGGCGATTGAAAATTAATGTAGGAGGTACGTTGTGTAAGCAATTAAGTATAGATCTCAAATTTGTGAAACTTTTTGCGATGTCGATCTATCAGTATATATATGTATATGAAGAACAGGTTATGTATTAGTATAATGTCCTCTAATTTATTTATTCCATGGCATGCATTGTACATTAACCACACCATTTGGTCCAAGTAAGCAAGTACAACACCAAGAGAAAGAGACAACACGACGACAATAGCTAGTGAGTCCAATCACCACACTAAGACGACGTACACACTACATAGACGCATATGCATCTTTATTTATTCAAATCAAAACCAGACTTCTGCTGGCGACGTAGTAGAGTAGGCCCTATTATGGACATGGACGTAGTACTTATTAGCTACGATACGAGTCCATGCATCTTTTGATGCGGCTTCAGTTATGGCCCTCGGTGAACTCCGGGCGGTACATGGGCTCCGGGATCTCGTCGGCGCGCGAGCAGCACCGGCAGCCGCCGTAGTACCCGCGGTTGCAGCATCCCCACCGGCAGTAGCCGCCGTGGCCGCCGCCAGGGTAGCCGCCCCCGCCCCGCCAGCCGCCGCCCGGGTAGCCGCCACGGCCGGGGTAGCCACCCCCACCGCGCCAGCCGCCGCCGGGGTAGCCGCCGCCACGGTAGTCCTGCACGTCAGCTTTGTTCTCGTCGTCCTTCCTCGGCTCTGCATGATCCAATCAATACGTAGTACGTTACGTACACACATATAGTGCAAGTTACAGTAAGTATATACCGAGCTACTTCGATTCATCAGCTTTCTTTGTTTTGCTTGAAAGCTGAAGCAGTGAAGCTAATCAAACTCACGGGTTTGCTCGTTAGCTGCTGAGGCGACAAGGAAAACGGCGGCGAGCAGGAGAGCGAACACGGGTTAGGCGCAGGCCCCCACTGCGGCGGGGTGGTGCCGGCATGGGGAGTGCCGCCGGCCTGAGCGGCATGGCCACCGTTGCCGCCGTTCTGCCGGTTGCGGCCGTCGTTAGCCTTGCGCTTCTTGCGGCGGTCGTTGTTCCCTTTGGCGGGCGCCTGGGACGGTGGTGGAGGCCGCGATGCGGGGGAGGTCGTGGCCGCCGCCAGAAGAGCGGTCTGCGCCTCCATCTGCAGGGAGTGGCGAATGCGATGTTCTTCCTGCAGAAGGTATGATTTGGTGTAGAGAAAGGTGGGTGGAGGAGTCATGGTGGAGAGAACAGCAATTGCTTGGCTGAATTTGTTGTTCAAGCCTCGCAGGGTGTTGATGACGAGAGCGGTGTCGGAGACGGCGGCGCCACAGTCGTAGAGTTGATCGGCGAGACGCTTGAGCTTGCCGCAGTACTCGGCGACGCCCATGTCACCCTGGAACAGGCTGTGGAATTCCTGTTGGGCGTACACGGCGCGTTGGAGACTGTTGTCGAGGAACTGGCCGATGATCGCGTTCCAGACCGAGAAGGCGGTGGCGTTGGGGCGATTCACATCGTTCCAAATCTCCTTGGAAACGGTTGTGTACAGCCAGGAAACGACGCAGGCGTCAACCTGGAGCCATTCGGCGTCGTCGATCATGGCGGCAGCATCAACGGTGCCGTCAATGTGATCGAGGAGGCGGAATTTCTTGATGGTGAGCTCGATGAAGGATCGCCATTGCCAGAAATTGCCCTCGTCGGAGTTGAGGACAACCGGGACGTGGCTGCGGATGTTGAGCATCACCAGGGTGGAAGCAGAAGGTGGAGCGGGATCAGCAAAAGGATTGGAGCCGGAGGAAGCAGACGGGCTCGACATGGTTGGGAGATGCGGAAGCAGTGGGTTGGGATCGAGATTAAGCTGATACCATGTAAGTTAGATAAACGCTCGAGTATATTCACTGAACAGCATCGGGTACATATACATGAAGCCGATCATCGTCAGCCAAGGGCTGCTAACTAACTCTCCTACAGAACCGGATCAGCTAGACTATGTGCCGTTAGGCTTACAACAGATTACGAGCTGGTCTTCTGCTATCTAACTGACGCCTGTGGAATCGGTTGCTAACATAATCAAACTCACGGGTTTGCTCGTTAGCTGCTGAGGCGACAAGGAAAACGGCGGCGAGCAGGAGAGCGAACACGAGGAGTCGCTTGGACGACGCCATGTTTATCTCTCTCTTTTCTCTGCAACTGCAATTGTACTGGATCAACTGCGAGTGTGTGATGAGAAGCTATGCGTGCGAACCAAGCGTATTTATAGGCAGAACGAGGAGGCTGGATATGGCTACCGATCTTTCTGAGATCCATCGTCGTCGGCATGCAACTGTAGTAGGGCCCCATGGATAATTATAAGCGTTTGCCGTTGGGAGGAGATGGATGGCATTAACGCTGGCTTCTATCGTGCTTGCAAGTAGCCCAGCCGCCAGTGGCTGCGTGATCTCTCTGCCCGTTGAAATCTTGCATGCTCTCGGTGGGAAACATGCATGCAAGTTTGACTCGGAAGCATGAATGCGCGCATGAACTATTAACACGTGTACGTGTAGCAAAAATTGTACATGTAATAGGTTATCATGCAGGTATGATGATACTATGCATGCATTTATATTATGTAATAAATATGTTCAACTCCACGAACTGGATAAGGACGTCGTTCTCAAATAGCTAGTCTAGAAAGAATTCTATTGGCTATCAAGGAGAGAGATCAAACAGCTAGCGACTTCAGAATAGCTAGTCTAACACGATCTTCTAGAAACAACTATCTCACAGCTTGCACAACCCTCAAATGTAATGTTTTTTTTCTAGGCCTCATCTAGCTAGCCATTTGCATTTTGCCATTGAGAACGCCCTAAGCTAGACAACTCTCCTCCATCAGTATAAGGCATGCATCGATAATGAGAAAAATAGTATCTAGATGGTTTTATCCACATAAGGTCAAATTCCATAGCATTGTGAGCTGACTTTGTGGTCTAGTGGGAAGATAACCTGATTTCTTTCTTGTTTTGCCTCTCTAAAGCATTTCCACCAGAACCTCTTTCCCTTTTCTCCATAAAATCAGGTATAGGGGATTGAGAAAACTGAATTATAGAATTTAAGGGATATGTGCTCCAACAAAGAGCACTGAGCATAGGACATTTATGGAGACATCATCTTGAACATGATTCTAGCAAAGATCAAAAGGTATGAGTGAAGACACGAAGCAAAATTTGTCATCTTGAAGAAAGAATTGAGTTCTATGCCCATTGGAGTTCTATATCGCCCTCAAAAGCAAAAACATGGTTAATACACTGGAGGTAATCATCATGATGAGTCAAATTTGGTTCCGAGAGAATGTTTTTTAGTTTGCAAGCTTAACTAAAAACAAGGGGGCATATGCTGACAACCAAAGTTGTGTCCAAAGGAGGTGGATCGTTCTAGGATGATATGGGACAAATAGCCTAGCTGGACTTGTTTTTGGTAACCTTTTCAAATGACAAGATGGATTCCACCGTTGCATTCCTCTTGACTAGGCGATTGAAATGCATATATAGAACGTCCAATTTGGAGTTTGGATGAGAAAACTATGGCTTCAGGAAGATACACCTCTCAAAAACCGGCTAAGCTAGTTTTGGTAGGCAAATTCTAGTTTAGAGTTGTATTTTGATGTGATTTGTAAGGGTTTTTTTGACCCCTCACAGGATAAGTTCACCCTACCATGTATAATTGTTCGTCTCTTGATCTGACGATCAAAGGTGGCACTTGAGGCTTGCTCACCAACATAGGGAAACTTGCCGACGTCCACGCCATGACGAGGGCCCCTACCTGATGAAAGCTTTTATTATTCCTTTGCTAGTTTGCCCAAAAACTAGCTGTTATCTATCAAGTAAAGCATGATAGTTATCATTGCAGTTTTGATCATAAATCTAGGCATCATGCATCGTGGAAGTGTGTGTACCTTTTTCTGGGAAAAATCCAATAAAATTGGTGTGATAGTTATGTACCTTTTCCTAGACAAAACCCAATGAAATTGGCTAGGCCGATTCCTAGAATCGGCTAAGCCGGTTTTAGTAGGATCATGCCATCTCAATCTGTTTATAATCCGAGCGTTCTAGCTCTTTGTAGTATGGAACCATACTCGTGTCAACAGTAAGTTTTAGGAAAATACTTATTCAATGCCCCCTCATGGCCATATCAGTTGGTTGGCAAGAGTATTTGGAGAAGACATAGCAGTACTCAATTCCATGAGATGCATGATAGAAGAGTACATTACATCGATCAGCCGCGCAAATCGATGTTTCCAACTACGCACACGAGTGTGCACCACCTTCTTATTTTTATTCCATTCATTCATTCATGACGACGATGGAAACTTTTATTGACTACGCAGGACGAACGTACTATATACGTGTGCCTGCTGCCCATCGCCGGACATAGTACGTAGCAGCAACTCATCAGTTATGGACCTCGACAAGCTCAGGGCGGTACATGGGCTCCGGTATCTGGTCAGGGTGAGAGCAGCACCGGCAGCCGCCATGGTACCCGCGGTTGCAGCAACCCACCGGCAGTGGCCGCCAGGGTAGCCGCCGCCCCGCCATGCCGGCCGCCACCGCCACCAGGGTAGCCGCCGCCGCCACCCGGGTAGCCGCCACCACCGTGCCAGTCCTGGACATCCGCCTTCTTCTCCTCTTTGGCCTCTGCCACAGCCCAACACATAGTACAGATAATTAGTATTTGGGTGGAAGTTAATTATTAGTATTAGCTACAGTGCACGCATGAAATTGAATGAACTCACGGGCTTGCTCGTTAGCGGAGGCGACGAGGAAGGTGGCGGCGAGCAGGAGCGCTAACACGAGGAGCGCCTTGGACGCCATGATTGATGCTATCGGCGATCTCGGTCTCTTTCTCTCTGAGCTACAACTGTGGAAAGCTCGCTGCGAGTGTGATGCGAAGCTGTGTATGCGAGCCCAGCGTATTTATAGGCGGACCGGAGCGAGGTGGGGTGTCCAGCTGCCGACCGATCGTGGCCCGTGGCCCGGCCAGTGACGAGATCGTCGTCGGCATGCAGCCGTGTACGTTTGGGCCCCACGCGGGTGCAGGTACACATGATCAGTGAGACGCTAGCAGTTGGGCGGTAGATTGCATTAACGTGCATGAGTGCAAATGTGCAATCGTGCAACATGCCTGCCTGCTGCTGCTGCATGATCTATTGGTCTCTGCCTGTCCACGTATAGAGATTAAAAACCTGCTCGGCGGAAGACATGCATGCATGCCAAGTTTGACTCATGTATGTGTGCATTAATATTGCAAAATCTTTGTTTATAATAGACCATACGCTCCGGTTACTTCTTGGATAGAGAGAGACACGCACGCGGGCAAGCAGTGCAGCTTCATGGATAGCCAGGATTGTATAAATATTTCGCCGGATCGATCGAGAGATTGGGGCAGCTCCATTATTCCTGATCTGGATAAGATATCGTCTGCTGAATTTGTCTGTCGAGGGATGAGGAAGCGTTCAAACAAGAGAGAGAGAGAGAGAGAGAGAGAGAGAGAGAGAGCTTTGCCCTCGCACCTATACCATGTCCTTTGCGACGATGGCTGTAGTTAACTTCATTACAATGTCTATTTTTTCCCTATTATATGCAAACGGTAGTGTCTTCGTATTGTTATTGGAGCAAAATGCAAATAGTCCTGGAACTGCATCCTAATTGACCCCTTCTCTTAGGATGTTACCACTTTTGTTGATGTTACAATCATTAAAAAATTAGGGGAGATAAGAGAGATCGTCTCCTCAACCTCTTCATGAGATAGATAAAACATACTCCCTCACTTCTAAATTAATGGTAAGTTGTTTTGACTTTTCTAGTATATATAGTTTTTACTATATATCTATCTAGACATAATATATATATCTAGGTTCATAGGACCTAGAAAATCCAGAATAACTTACAATTTGGAACTGATGGAGTATTAATATAATATGGAATTATGAATGTTATTCTTACATGCTTTTGTTATTGCCTTCGGTATGTTCATGCCGGAAAGAGTGCAATTCACTTCATTTATGTGGGTGTCAACGTGCATGATGATATCCTTAATTACATGGTTTTGTATACCCCTTCTGTCAGAGGTATCGGTTCCGGAGTGCAATTCACTTCATTTATGTGGGTGTCAACGTGCATGATGATATCCTTAATTACATGGTTTTGTATACCCCTTCTGTCAGAGGCATCGGTTCCGGCAATATAGATCAGTATATCACACACATGAAATCAGAAAGGTAGCACATGGAACACAAATGTATACTGGTTTAGGTACCGGGGTACCCTACATTCAGTTGAGAACAGATCTCATCTCTCAATCTCGTATACTCAGAATTTACGGGGGCGTTGATGTCCAGTTGCCTAGGGTTTCTATGCAATGTAGCTAAAATAGGTCAAGCTACCGATCGGGGGCTCCATACTCCACCTTATATATTTCGGGAGGTACGGTTACAATTCGGATTCCGATCGGTTTACATGGAGGTATTCTAGTTTGCTACAAGAAAATCTAGGTACAAAAGAATCAACTATTCCTTATTCTAGTCGGTTTCCAAGCTCCACATGCCTGGTTGCTTGTCCATCACATCTGATGTGCCCTGGTTCGGTTGGGCCTCTCATCTTCGCCAGCTTCAGCCCACCCGGGTTGTAATGTGTTGCTCTTCAGGCGATGAGGTACCCTGGGTCCATATCACCAACACCTCCAATACCAACTTATGCCTTGCTCAATTTTGATAGGAACAGATGCACAGATGCATTGGTCTAACTCATATATGCACAACTTTATTTCTAAGAAAGTCCTGCGGCAACAACGTAGTGTATCCTTCATTAAATCAATTTATGAATCTGCATTAAGTAACAAATCGTGTTGCAAACTGTGTGCTCTATGAGAATTGAATTGTTTTCTACTTTGCGTAAAAATGGTTCTTTTGGTATTTGCCGTTGAGTAAATTGATTATGTGCAGGCAAATAAAAGGCTCGGTGTGCCTAACGTTCCTGGTTAGGTGAGAGCTGCTATGATGCATGTTCCCCTCATAGTTTGTAGAGCCAAGTTTCAAGCAAGAATTGTGATGTGCCATATATATAATTGGTCAAACAATATCTATGGTTCTCTATGAACGTGACACAAAACTATATAGACATAGTACAATATTTAGTTTTCACCATAGGCTGGTTAGATTTTTTTGCAGTGCCAAGGTCAGTCGGCTTCGGATAGCTCATGTGGCCTAGCAACACGGTCCATTAACAATGATCACCGCCGCTCCATGCATGATGCATGTACACCAGACAATTGTTTCTACTTTTTTCCAATTGGATTAATAATGAATATCTCTACATACTACCATTTTATCACTATGGTATAGTGGCAATGTGGCATTACGGTCCTACATTTAGTAGGTATTCTCCAAATCCTTTCTCTTCAAAAACAGGGTTTTCCGAGAAGAAAACTGCCAAACGATTTTAGCATTTAGAGTTAGAAATAGAAACATTTCTGGGATTCACGTGAGAATCAGAAACAAGAAAACCTCACTGTTCTTGATGCCTCAGTTTGATACCTTGTTATTCCCTATCTAAACTCCTGAACTATAAAGAACTATCAATTGTTCATATTGCTAAAATAGACAATCTAGAACCATAACAACTGGTACCAAGAGCCTTCGATTTGGCAACCCTAATTTTCCCCAATGCAAATAATCGTCTGAGCCATGGTTAGGTCACTAATCTTTGTGCATAGATGACGAGGATGGCAACAACGTTGTGCAATTGAACGAGAGGCTAGACCACTTCAATGGAGTTTCGTTAGCGCCCTCATCCTCTAGCTTGGCATCAGTATCCTAGAACCTGCCCATGGTGTCGGTTGACACCTCTGTGGTGAGGAGCACAACATTGGCGACGCCCACCGCTTTGACCAATGCGGGCAGATTGTGGAGGACACAACTCACCCCATGGCATCCGCTGTCGGCATCCTCCCTAGTGACACCGGTTTCCTCGTCGTTGAGTATTAGATATCGGCTTGGGGTCAAGCCGATTTTCAAGGAGGAGGAATGTCATGAACATGGGCCTCAATGTTGGGCTTCTGCGATTGCTTTAGAGGCCTTTGCCGGACAGGAGCAAGGTGGATAAAACATCAGGGTAGCATCATAAGGCACCAAAGAGAACATAAGCCGTCTTCCTCCTCTATCCAAGAGCTTTGTGTCTATTGTTCTTGCTTCCTACCTCTGATTCCTTGTTGTTCGCAGCCTAAATTCCCTATATAATTCTTTTGAGATTGTATCCCCAAACTATCCAGAACTATCAATTGTTCATATTGCTATAAGATTGATGGTTTAGGACCACAGAAATGAACCCCGGTGTGTTTGGTACGGATCCAAATTCTCGTAGAAATATTTCAAATCTAGATTATATGAAGAAATGTTTTTGACAGTGAATCAGAATCACTAGACTATTTGGCTTGGCTGAATTCTGATTCAAAAAATGTTTTCATACAAAAACCATATAAATGAAAATATGCTTCAAAAAGATTCAACCTTTTTTGTGGGCAAAGAATAGCTTAAATACAACCAATTTTAACTTGTTTCACTTAAAATAATTAACTGCAAAATATGACATGAGAAGGAAGAATCGGAATCATTACGAAACCATGTTTTCACTGTTTCAGTTCACAAGCGGAACAACACTGATCCAAAGCGTTCCAAGTAGAAACGTTTTGGCTGTGTACTGTTTAGCTCTGATTCTAGCGATTCTCGTAAGAATCAGAAACGGTTTACAGTGCTAGTGCGTTTGGCAGAGCTCCAGATTCTCACGGTAGAAACATTTATGATGATGAATTGGAATCACTTTATGAAACCGTTTGACTAATGAATCGGATTCCAATTTAAAAAATCATGTAAATAAAAATATATTCAAAAAAATTCTAAAATTTTTATGGATGGGGAACAACTTAATATAATTAAATGCACTAGAGGTCCGTTAACTTGTGAGAAAGTTTTAGTTATGTCCATCAACTTTCAAAGTGACTTTTTGGGTATAGCCGTATCACTTAGGTCCATATCGTTTCACGTAGACTTCTCATATTGAGGGGCCTGCTAGCTTGTCCATCTTAAGCAACTATTAACTCTTCATTTTGTCAAACACGCTGTGGCCCGTTGACGTGCTCCGTGAGGCCGCAGAGGTTGCATTCGAGAGCGACGCGGCGTGGCGGCACATGGTGATGGACGCCGGTGTGCTACAGCACGTGCTCCGCGTCATCGTGTCGAACGCCAGCGAGGTCAAGGGTGCCTATCCCGGACACCAGGGGAGCAGCAGCTTAGAGATCACGCGCGCCATCGAGGCCGGACTTGATCTCGTCCGTGCGCTCGCCATCTCTGGCGACGAGCTCAGGCCGCTGGTCGTCGCTGATAGCCACGTGCACGACCTCTTCGACGCGGTGACGGACGTGCTAGCAGGCGGCGACATGACGAGGGCCCGCTGGGCCAGAACAGCGCCCTGGTCGTGGACACCGGTGCCGCGCACGAGGCCATCGATCTAGAGCTCGAGGACGCGCCGCCGCCACCGTCCTCGTCCTCGCCCGCGCCCGCGGGCAGTGGCAAGAGGGCACCCGGAGCTGGCCATGGCGCTGCTGGCGGACCTGTGCGCGTGCTGGCGGCTGGGCCGTGTTCCCCGAGGTGCTGCGTGAGATGGCACGCGTTAGCGCCATGGGGAAGCTATGCTGCGTGCTGCAGGCGGACTACGCCGCCGTCGTCAAGGAGGCGGCCTGCGCCGTGCTCAGGCTGGAGCGGGTCGCCCTGCGTCAACGCATACCTGCTCTCATCAACATCAGCGACATCACGCACTGGGTCACCAGGGACACGGAGCGCAGCGAGGAAGAGCGCAGCTGCGGCGGCTCGCCCACGGTGGCGGCGGCGCCTGCTCGTGCGCCCGCGTGTCTGTGGCGGGCCTGCTTGCGCGCCAGCAGCGGCGCCTACTACTTGCGCGCCCACAACGTGTTTGGGGAAATGAAGGATCAATAATTGCTTTAGGTGGATAAGTCAGCAGGCCACGTCAGCATGAGAAGCCCACATGGAGGGATTTAGACCTAAATGATACAACATACAAAGTTTATGGATAAAAAAAACCACCTTAAAAGTTAATGGACCTAACTGAAACATGTTCACAAGTTAATGGACTTCTAGTGCATACCATTTTAACTTGTTGCACTACAAAAGAATTAACTGAAAAAGAACAAAAAAAAAAAAGAAGTAAGAAACAATGAGACGAGAATATGTGCGAAACCAACCTCCTGCCATTTCACGTGCGTACATAGAAACAGTGAAATATTTGGTTCCGAATCACTTACTGGAATGACCGTTTGGAAGTGATTCAGGTGATTCTCGTTAGAAACTGAAATGTTTCTTCTATCCAAACGCACCCACTTGGGTCTGTATATGTACATAACCGGGTCACAGTCGCACGTTCATTTGTCCGATGAGTTGGAGCGCTTGGTCACTTGCGGCATGCCTATATCCATCTTATTATGAGATGCATTCTTGAAGGAGAGTTTGAACACGCTTATAATCATTGTTATTCCAAACATAACACTTTCAGATTAATTCTTTTATACGAAACGAAAGGATAGAAGTGTACATATAGATATTGGGATAAGGGTGCTACGTACGGCATGGATCATGTTGTATACTCCTGCGAACCAGCAGCGCGAAAGACGTACGCATGTACGTCTATAATACGCGCCTTTATATCCGTACAAAAACAACTCGACGTCGTCGCACGTTATTAAGGATGCTGTTACCTAGCTACAGCCGTGTTATTTAACAAGTTCCATAACCATAAGGAGAGCCTCGCTACGCAGCTAGCTAGCGCGCGCAGCGCCGTGGTAGCTCCGGGAGTGGCTTGGCAGCGGCCGGGCCGGGTCTAGTTCTTCACCTCCTCCGGTCGGCCAGCGCCGGGCGGCGGCGGGCAGCACTCCTGGCAGCCTCCATGGAATACGTGGTGGCAGCAGCCGTACTCGCAGGCGTGGCTGTACCCACCAGCTGATCCGCCGCCGCCGCCGCCGCGCCTGTCCTTCACGCCGGCGTCGTTGTCTGCCATCTTCTCGTTGTTTTCATCTGCGTGGTGTATGAACAAACGAAGTATATTGATCAGAGCCCCTTCATGAACTTGATTACCATCTGTACTACCGATTAGCTAGCATAGGTATACGATTCAGCGTCATCGTATCTCGTGTGTAATGAGAAGGAAGAGAAGAGAAAAAACAGGAATCCGACGACGCACAAGTTTGCTCCGCCGCGATGGCGAGGACGGCGGCCGACGCTAGGAGGGCGAGCAGCAGGAAGAGAGCCTTGGACGCCATTGATGTATCGATCGGACGTCGCAGCCGCCGGTGGTGATGAAGAAGAAGAGGGACGAGCGATCAGCAGCAGGTTCAGGTGCTATTTATACCGGCCGGCAGCCGCGGATCGAGCACGGCGCAGATAAGGGCGTACTATACGTGAGACGGGAAGAGAAGAGACTCTAGTGAGGACGGAGAGGTTGATATGCGTGCGCTCTCTTTATTTTGTTCCCACACGGCGGTGAACAACCGGACACAGGTCACCCTGTCCGTCGCGGTGTAGCTAGCTGCAGGCACTCTATGTGTCAATCGGCGCGACCGCGTGTGGAGGTCGTGAGCGATCGCTGGTGCGCCACGACCACGAACGCGCCTGCAGTAACCGTCCGCCCTCTCGCGCGCACGCCTCGGGACTCTGACCCAAAAACGTCCCGCCGGGGCGCCGGGCTAGGTTGTTCCTCAACTCGTGACCACACCGTTGTCGTTCTAGGCACTGGGCAATGGCCTCCCGTCTTAAAACATCCTCGGATAGGGAAAACCGGCGTAGACCGATTCCGAAACCGGCCTGCCCCGCAGTCTTGTATGAAGAAACTGGTCTAAGTTGGTTTTGTCTGCTGTTGACGGTCATTAGTCATTACATGATCAATCTGACCATAAAAAAATTCAAGATTAGAGAAATACTTTAACATGTCGGGTATTAATCTTTAGAGAATTGCTCCGATAGTCCTCTTTTCTAAAATTGCACGTATCTCAAAGTGGCCCATCCTTAATTAATTAACTAATTAGTTTCTTAATTATTATGGATCCGCATTGGACTTGGCCCTCCCAAGTCCAGCGGCCTCTGCCCAGCCCAAAGCTCCAAACCCAAGCCGAACTCATCCTCATCGCGGATCTCCTTTGTTCAGACTTCGACGACAAGGAGCGGACCTCGTCGACGGCTCATCTTTGAATCCTTTTGTTCAGTGCCGTTCCATTTTGCATGAGGAGGTCCTCTGCCCCTTCCTGATGGACGTTCGCTGCCTGTGTTGGAGAGGTCCCATGAGGACAGCCACCGCGATAGCTGCATCATGGGCGCTGGCGCGAGGCAGCACCACCATATGCATGGCTGCCTTCATATCCCCAGCACCACACTTGAAGGCGGTGATGGTTGTGTGCACATCGTCCCCGCTGTTATCAACTGTGCAACTTACATCAAAACATTAGCATCGTATTTTAGAATTTAGAGTGATGAACCCCTTTCCGAAAAAAGAGAGTGATGAACCCTGTTGATGTCTTTCTATTGTTACAACAAAAGCTGGCACAACTAGTCAGGGTTGGTTGATAGAGTGACACACTTTTAATAATTGTTGATACTTTATTTAGTTGTCTTTTGGTACCAGGTCCAAGAAAAAATAGATTACAGGGATATTTTACAAGTTCAAGATACTCATAAGAATCAGCCTGTTCGCTTGTTGATTTCAGTCAGGGCTTATCAGCCAGCTAACAGTGTTTTCATCTCACAACAAACCAGCATCAGCCGGACTTATCAGTCCAGAAACCAACCAGCGAACATGCTCAATGTAGATAGAGCTCAAAGCTGCATTATCTCGGCAAGAATACCAACAATAGGTGGAATGTTTACAATTCAATGTTACCATGCTCTAAATAACCAGTATAGTCCTTACCATTTGGTGAAAAATAGATTGTGTGATATCTATTGTAAATTTTTTTATTGGATGGAATACTCATTGTTCACTTATTTGATTATTAGAATGTTGTAAGGGTTTGTTTGTTATTTTGCTACTGGACAGGGTCTGATTTATAAGACCGTGGCATCAAGAGTTTTGTATATTTTGTTTTTGCAAATTCTCATCAAAGATGTGTATATCGAAAACACGTCTTTGATGAGAAAAAAAAACACAAACAAACACTTTGCTTTTCTTTTCTAATAAATGAAGCCAACCCAACTTTTATGTATAGATTGGTTGGTGGATTCATGCATCGGTTGGAACTATAAGTTCACCTTGCCATAAGTTTTTGTTGCAGATATAAAAATCATAAATCAAGATTTGTTGAACAAAAACGGCATGGGAGGCCACAAACTTGCTTCAAATGGTGGTCTGGCCGAGGACGACCAACCTCATTTGGTGGCCACTCTCACAACGTGTATGTGATGATTCTTCATCAAGGACCCGTTTGTTTAATACATGTCGCTGATGTCTTAATATCAGTGACACATTTTTACACGCCAACAGACATAAATTTCAGACACATTTTTTTCCATTTCTCTGATGACTATTTATCCACGTCTCTAATATGTGGTTTTGACATAGTATACTAAAGTGTCATCCATTCTTGAAGTGTCATGTGGTCAGTATTCTCCAAAACATTTGCCTAAAGTATACAATATTTCCCTCAGGGGAGAACATATATACATGGGTTTTTACCGGAAACTCATAGGTTTCATCGATCCATCAAAACTCGAAAGCATATGTAAGTCATATGGGGAAAGTAAAGGGTCTATTCGGCTGCAGCGGTTGCGACTTTTTCTACAATGTACTATGTGAGTGCTGAAAAAGCCGTAACCTGCAGCCGCTGCGGCGGTGGCTTTTTCAGCGCTCATATAGAGTAATGTAGAAAAAGCACCATTGGATGTGCATCAAGATACGTGCACATCAAGAGAGATATCTCATATGGTCTTGCTATACGTGTATGGGTACGTCTGTACGTACTTGCGTTTTCCATATGATCATATAAAATCTCTGCAGTCTGCATGTACCATACATTTCTCTACTGATGTGAAGGTATGTATATCTTAGTACACCTGGATATTATTCATTGTCATACACCTCCACATGACACTCCTTATAGACAAATGTCTCCTAGACAACCTATAGCATTTAGGAAAAGACATTTCCTTATAGACAGAAACAACTGCACCATGTGTGGCTGTCAAATCACTTGATATATTCACCACATTTTCCAATAGCGCTAACACACATGGTGATAATGACTATGGGTAATTTTGTTGTTCTGTATCTTATGGATAGCCTACATGCAGGATGGTGAAGCGTATGCTTACCTTCTCAGCACCCTTGCTCCAGAGCTTAGCTCAAAAACCATGATAGAAACTTCAGATCCAAAGGAGAGGGCGCAGAAAGTACTTGAAACCGCAGAAAAGCTCGATTGTACAAGATATGTAACGTCTAAAGATATTGTTGAAGGTTCGGCCAATCTTAACTTGGCATTTGTTGCTCAAATATTCCAAAACAGGTAAGTACGTAGAGAGAAATGACCTTTCCTACGCCTGTATCTGAGGTTGTCAAGAACTCACAATGAAGTTCAGCAATTAACTAGCATGTGTTATACTTATACCTCTTGCCTATGTCTTCACCATGAACACATTACAATATTTTGATACTGTTGAAATTGAACCTTTCAAATGCATTGTGTGGAAAATCTTCTCTATTTTTGTGAACAGTGTACGTTTGAATGTGCAAATACAGGAAAAACAACTGAAATACATATCATGTCTACCACGTCTTTCATTTAGTTTTTCATACACTAGTACTGATCTACATGGACTGCAATAGCATTCACACCACAGTGAATGTTGAATGTTTATTCAGTTACTCCTCTAAAAGAAAAGAGCATGACTCTTCATCATATCTGCCTAAACTACGAACAACATTTCTACCTTTGTTAATGCATTTTGTGTGGAACGATTACAAACTTGTGCAGAAATGGTCTATCGACCAACACTGTGGCTCCCGTTCATCAAGATACTCCTGATGATGTGGAGGCATCCAGGGAAGAGAGAGCATTTCGCCTATGGATCAACAGTCTTGGAATTCCAACTTATGTGAACCATTTGTTTGAGGATGTTAGGACTGGGTAAGATTTATCTCTAAGAAGAAATGACCTTAGCTTTTTTGGTATATATGTTGCTACCTTACCGAAGTTTATTTGCAGATGGGTTATGCTAGAGGTTCTTGACAAAATTTCTCCTGGGTCAGTTAACTGGAAGCATGCATCTAAACCACCAATTATTATGCCATTTAGAAAGGTTGAAAACTGCAATCAGGTTATCAAAATTGGGAAGGAGTTAAACTTTTCTCTGGTGAATGTAGCAGGAAATGACATTGTGCAAGGAAATAAGAAACTAATTCTAGGTAAATACATGTTTATATATAAGCTTCTTTGATCTTATTCCAATTGTTGCTTTGATGCTCCAGATTTCTTTTAAAAAGTTGTTCACATTTTCACTTATTATTATGGATAGATTATGTTATTTTAACCTATCGAGGTTCAACTGCTTCTATAATAACGTCTATTATCTAAAAGGAAAAAGAAAAATAAAGGGGGCAAATACATATGTGAGGAGGCGGCTTAAATTACTTTTTTGGGGATATTTTAGGCTTAAATTTCGTACAAGAGGAGAAAAAAATGCTTCGATTACTTCATTGAGTGTTTTTTTACTCCCAGCTTTCCTGTGGCAACTCATGAGGACTAGTATCCTACAATTGCTAAAGAACTTGAGATCCCACTCTAAAGAGAAAGAGATCACAGATGCTGACATTCTCATTTGGGCTAATAACAAGGTCAAGGAATCAGGCAAAACTTCCCATATTGAAAGCTTCAAGGTTCATCGACCGACCTTCACCATTTTGGCTAAATTGAGCTATCCTGTTATGTGCATAACATTAAGCTGTCCTATTGATTCTCTAGGACAAAACAATAGCAGATGGGGTGTTCTTTCTTGAGCTCCTAAGTGCTGTGCAGAGCAGGGTTGTTGACTGGAACATGGTGAAGAAGGGGGAGGATGGTTTGTATCAATTTCATGTATATATTGTGTTATCCTGTGAATTTTCAGGAGTACCATGTCATTTGCTTTCATGGTTGCAGAGGACGAGAGGAAGCTGAATGCAACATACATAATCAGTGTTGCTAGGAAGCTAGGTTGCACTGTCTTCTTGCTGCCTGAAGACATAATGGAGGTAACAAGAGAATGCTGTATTAGTTGCACGTATAAATTCGGCAAAAATGATATATAAACAATAACTTACTTATATAAATCAACACTAGGCATACCAGTGGTCTCTCTCAGCTCAACCTCCGTCGTCCATCCTGTGAGGCAGTGAAAAGAACAGTATTTTTTTTCTCTGTTTGCACTGTCGTGGCAGGTGAACTCAAAGATGATCCTCACCCTTACTGCAAGCATCATGTACTGGAGCCTGCAGAATCAAGGGCCCTACCAATGTCCAGGACCACAGGATGCTCTTCCAGAGGAAGAGGAAGGCGAGGAGGAAGAAGAAGAAGAGGAAGATGAAGAGGATTTTGAAGGAGGCGTCGAAGATGGTGTTGTTAGAATTGATCTCATCCGTCTTGACCCAACGGTCGAGACTGACCCCTTGACCGCGTCCTGATCGGGGACGTCCAGCCATCTAGTGGCTGGTGGGCCCCCGACGCACAGTGCCTATAAAGAGGAGGTGGGGCAAACGGCTCAGGCCACGAGGTTCACCGCTGCCACAACCCCACTGTCCTAACCCTAATCTGATCCAGTGGGTGGCACTGCCAGCGGCAGGAAGCACCACTGGACCGCCGTAGCTCCACCCCGCCGGGACTCCGCCACCTCTACACCGTCACTGCCACACTGCCACTGACACCGACGCCATGGACTGCTCGAGCTCGTCCACCAAGCCCGACGGTCTGTACGTCTCTCTTTCTCCTCTCTCACTCTCTCTGGATCCATGTGTTCTAGTTCTTTCATAACGAATGGAAGTTAAAATACCCACTGATCTACTCCTAGTCGATCCAAAAGTGTTAACAATGGTATCAGAGCCGATTTGCAAGGTGTAGATCACGACACTAGGTAAAGAAAAGAAAAGAACGGAGCTAGATCCGATTCAGATCGAAAGAAAAGAAATACAAAGGGTTCATCGAACCCTAACCCCTAATTGGGTGAAGAAACGGGGAAAGAAGGGGTTTCGATTTCGAAAAGTATTCGAACCCTAACCCTAACCCTAACCCTAACCCGCGTGGGGAAGAAGAACAGACTCTAACCCTAGCTGGGTGAAGACGGAAGGGGCTCGTCTTCAAGACCGCTTGATCTGAACCCTAAACCCGTAACCAGATCTCGGGGCAAAGAAAAGAAGAAAGAAAAGAAAGAGAAACGAACTTCGGTTCGGAGAAAATGAAACCCTAACCCTAAATGAACACAGAGAGAAGGACGGATTGGAAGGAGTTTTCTCCTACCTGGGGATCCCCTGCGCCGTCACCACCACCTGCCGTCGCACTGGACGCCGTGCGGGGAAGTGGAACACCGCCGACCATCGTGGTCACGCCGCCGCGCGGCCACATCTCGGGCTCAGCGGTAAAGGGCACCACCACAAAGCCGCTCAACGGCGGCGCGCTCAGCCTTGGGCGAGCGCGCGCGCCGGCGATGGGCCCCATGGCGGCGCCACCATCTCAAAGGGAGGGAGATAGATAGGCTGGCCGGCTGGAGACTCGCAGCGGAGGCGGCGGCGCCACCTCCTCGCAGTTGCCGTCGGCCACCGCCACCTTTTTTCCTCCGCCGCAGTCGCTCCGTTCGGTGGAGAGAGAGGAAAGGAAGAAGAGAATGGACTAGTGTTTGGGGAGGGGCGACCGGCGGGCGGGGTTTTGATCCCGCGGAAGTCACGCATGGCCGTCCGATCAAAATGAATGGCCACGATTCGCGGGATGAATGAGGCCCAGCGGGAAGATGAATTCCGGCCCGAGCCCAGTTGCGGCTCGGCACGGGAGGGAGAGCAACGGACGCCATGGTGGTTGCTAGGCTAGCGACGCTGCAGCAAGCGGCCTTGGTTTAGCAGAGAGCTTCAGCCGCCGGATTTATCTTGCTTGGCCGGGCCAGAAGAATAGTAAATGATGTTTTGAAGTCTATTTATTTTCAGAAGCATATTTGAATGAATTTTGATCAATTTGAAGGTTTAAATTTCTGGTAAAATTGCACCAACGTGTTAGATTTTTCAGAGAGTAGAAAAGTACAGTAAAATGCTTCTGAAAAGTATATAAAGAAATTTTGTCAAGTTTCCGCTGCAAAGTTAAAAATGTTGTCTTCTTATTAAATTCGAACCAACGAGAGAATTTAATTTGAAGAGCAGTTATAGTTATTCGGTAAATGATGAAAAGTTTATCCTCCAGTTAAAATTGGAACCAACTAGAAAATTTTTAATTGGAGGAATAGTCGGTTGATAGTTAAGATAAATTATAATATTGTTATTTTCTGACCAACGTTGATGATAAGAATATTATAAATTTATTTAAGAGTTTAAGTTTAAAGTTAAATTATGGTATTGTTATTTTCTGATCAACGTTGATGATAACAATATTATAATTTTATGATTTCTATGTTTAAAGTTTAAATCTCTGATGAATTTTACATCAAAGTGACCAATTTTTCAGAGAAAAGATAAAGATCAAGGAATGCTCTTAAACTAAAGAAATGTATTTTCATGTTTCCGCTGCAATGAAGTTGATTGTCTTCTAATTAAATTCGAACCAACGAGAGAATTTAATTTTGAGGAGTAGTTCTATGTTTTCAAGATTATTAAATTTCTATACGTTAATTCCATTTCTGTCCAACGGTGATGTGGAATTAATGTAGAAGAATGGTGTTTTATTCTATTTCTGCCCAACGGTGATATAGAATAGAACATAAAGATTTCAAAGTTTAATGAGCATTATTGTTGAATATTTTTTCAGACAAAAGACCTCCATGCTTTCATTCTTGAAGGCAGTAAGAGAAATGAGCGGGATACTTATGACTCATATGATGAAATGCCTAAGGGCAAGTTATGTATGAAAGAATGCCATTGTTTAAGAAACTGTGTTCTCTTTAAAGAATGGCTTCAAAAGAAAAGAATTATAGGATATTGATCCAAGAAAAGAGATAGATCAATGAGAGTCTTCATTGATAAATGTCTTTTATGTACTCTCCGTGAAGAAGAATTTATTTTCAGTTTCACTTATGAGAGTTGTAAAATTCATATACATGTTTAATTTGACTAACATTGGATTACACGTGTGTGTTAAAGAATATTCGGATTTATTTCTGAATTTGATGATTGAACACGAGCCAATCCTGGCAGTTATGTTAGTTTAAGGGAATTATCTCGCATGGCGGGAAAAGTTTGTGATAGTACCCACATGGTGGAAAAAGTTTGAGAAAATACCCGCATGGCGGGGTAAAGTTAGAATAGTACTTATGTTAACCAATCCTGCATGGCAGGAGAGTTTTGGCATAGTACTTATCCCGCATGGCGGGAGAAGGATATGATGACTCATGTGCTCTAAGTGTATCCTGCACATGGAGAAAAGTTTGAGGTAGCTTTTATGCTATCCTAGTATTGACCATACACTCTGATTGTGTCATGGTCATTAAGTACTCAATGAGTTTAAGAACAAAACAAAGTTGCATGTGAACCAAAAGATAAGAATGATATGCAAGCATGACTTACAGAAGTATTGATAATAATAGACTATGTTGAGTTTTGAAGTGTAATGAGAAAAATGTACTCCCATACAATTTTTGTTTGCATGATGTAATCATGTGGATGAAGTAAGTAATCAAAGTTTCCTCATTCACAAGAGTTATGAATGTTTTGAAATTGTGGTAGAAAAGTTCATACCACATTTCGAGGGGGAGAAAATGTAAGATTAATTAAGAAAGACAATTAAGAAAGATACTTCCCCATACTTCAGATAATGCAATGCATACTATGCATTGAAGGTAAAAGTGATCTATAAAAGATGATTGTGATCGTTGAGGGAGTAAGACGGTCATAATAACGATACCCCTAAAGTAAAGAAATAGCTAAATTCCTGGACCTTTTTATAGTTCCGATAGAAAGATAGCATAGTCGGCTAGTATTTATACTTGACGAGTTCAGAGTTATCAAGGCGGTGCTAAAAACTCACATGGCGGGGTAAAGTTGGAATAGTACTTATGTTAACCAATCCTGCATGGCAGGAGAGTTTTGGCATAGTACTTATCCCGCATGGCGGGAGAAGGATGTGATGACTCATGTGCTCTAAGTGTATCCCGCACATGGAGAGAAGTTTGAGGTAGCTTTTATGCTATCCTAGTATTGACCGTACACTCTGATTGTGTCATGGTCATTAAGTACTCAATGAGTTTAAGAACAAAACAAAGTTGCATGTGAACCAAAAGATAAGAATGATATGCAAGCATGACTTACAGAAGTATTGATAATAATAGACTATGTTGAGTTTTGAAGTGTAATGAGAAAAATGTACTCCCATACGAATTTTGTTTGCATGATGTAATCATGTGGATGAAGTAAGTAATCAAAGTTTCCTCATTCACAAGAGTTCTGAATGTTTTGAAATTGTGGTAGAAAAGTTCATACCACATTTCGAGGGGGAGAAAATGTAAGATTAATTAAGAAAGACAATTAAGAAAGATACTTCCCCATACTTCAGATAATGCAATGCATACTATGCATTGAAGGTAAAAGTGATCTATAAAAGATGATTGTGATCGTTGAGGGAGTAAGACGGTCATAATAACGATACCCCTAAAGTAAAGAAATAGCTAAATTCCTGGACCTTTTTATAGTTCCGATAGGAAGATAGCATAGTCGGCTAGTATTTATACTTGACGAGTTCAGAGTTATCAAGGCGGTGCTAAACGCGCCATATGAGTTTTTAGCAGATTAAACCCAAAATAAGAAATTTGAAGATACACCATCTTTACAGAAGATGGAGTAATTTGGGGGGAGCATGGTATGTAGATACCTAAGGCTTGAATAGAAGTGGGATTACATATCCACTACAGTGTTTTTTAGAGCAACAAATTGCTTAATACATGTTGATGTTGTATGGATATACAACACCTGATGTTAGCTCTTAAAGAAGATGAATAAGTAAATAAGGATCTTATAATACAGGAGGCTATAGAACAATTGCCTTTTGGCAATGAAGAGTAACAATAGCCCCATATGAAAGAAGTGCCACGAGGCCCCAGAAGGTCTCAAAGAATAAGAAAATCAGATATTTTTGGTGACTAAGAAGTCAATGTTAAGAAAGAAATTCAAATAGAGGATAATTCCACCTCATTTGAAAAAGCCATGAGAGGCGTTCACTCATCTAAATGGCAAGAAGCAAAGGAAGATGAAATGAAATCGATAAATACCAACGATGTTTGGGACTTAGAAGTAATTCCCAATTGAGCCAACACAGTAGGCTGTAATGGGTCTACAAGACAAATGTGACTCCAAAGGAAATATGAAAAGCTATAAAGCGCCACTTATGGCGAAATGATTTACACAAAGAGAAGGAATAGATTATAATAAGCTTGCAAGGATTCTTTTAGAATCATAATGGTATTAGTGGCACATTACGATTTACAGTTACATCAGAAGGATATGTAAAGACACATTCCTCAACGAGGATTTGTATGGAAAAGTTTACATGGCATAACTCAAAAGGTTTTGTCGTGGAAGGAAAAGAACGTAAAGGGATGTTGCCTAAAGAAATCCATTTATGGATTAAAGCAAGCTTCAAGACAGTGGTTCTTGAAGTTTGACAGTATAATAAGAAAGTTTGGGTTTTAAAGAGAATGTAGAGGACAATTGTATTTATGCAAAGTTTAAACATGGAAAATTTATTTTCCTAATCCTGCATGTGGGTAGCACCTTACTCGCTAATAGTGGTGTTAATCTACTGTTGGAGAAGAAACAGATCTTGTCCTCAAATTTCAATGAGAATGATCTTGGTAAAGCGTCATTCTTTCTAGGAATTAGAACTTACCGAGACAAAAGGAAAAGGGGTATTAGAACTATCTCAAGTGTATACTTAGAGAAGATTCTGAAGAAATAAAGTATATATGAGCATATACCTGCGCCTGTTCCTATAGTCAAGGGTAATAGTTTTTGGAACTTTTAGTGTTCCAAGAATAAATGTGAGATCGATCAAATGGACGTCCTATATGCTTCAGCTGTTGGAAGCTTACTGAATGCTTATAAGCAAAAACTTACCCTTACACAGTTTATGTATCCGGGATGTTTTTGGCAGAAGTCCAGTCCAGATATAGATCACTGGAATGGAGTTGAGAATGTTTTGCAATTGTGCAAAGATTTATAGGCCTCATGGTGAGGAAGAAAGAATAAGTACTCTCAAATAGTTGTGGGTACAAAAGTTAAATTTTGGCGAGATATTTAGTGAAACCCACATAGTAGCTAACACTCGCAGTTGGAGTTTTATTGTGGAAAAGCTCCAAAGAAACAGTTGTGGTGTCATCAAAGATGCATACCCATGGTATAGCTTGTTATGAGGCTTAAAGACAGGCGAAATGGTTAAAGGAACTTACACCTGGAATTGATAATGGTATACGACAGCAATAACCATTTAAGAAGTTCGCTCCTATAACAACGGGTCAAGTGTGCTGCCAAACACATTGACGTTAAAGTTGTACGTTGTGAAGGAGAAAGTCCAGAATCATACTAAAAGTATTGAACATATAAGTAACAAGCAAGTGCTTGCGGATCCGCGTATAAAAGGCTTACCACCTAGTGTGTTTGGAGAACACACAGTCGACATGGGTTTATGGTATAGCCTATGATTTCCGAATAATAAAGGGTCAAAAAGTTAAAGAATCTGTTTCAGAACAGAGAAGTGTATTGTAGCTGTTAAGTCTATCGGCGATTGACCGTGACGATGAAGCATGCTCTATGCACTAATCCGTGATGGAACAAATAAAAGTGAAAGGGATTAAAGTCAAAGTTTCAAGTTAAAGAATGAGTTGAGATCAAGGGGGAGAATGTTAGAATTGATCTCATCCATCTTGACCCAACGGTCGAGACGGACCCCTTGACCGCGTCCTGATCGGGGACGTCCAGCCATCTAGTGGCTGATGGGCCCCCGTCGCACAGTGCCTATAAAGAGGAGGTGGGGCAAACGACTCAGGATACGAGGTTCACCGCCGCCACAGCCCCATTGTCCTAACCCTAATCCGATCCAGAGGGTGGCACTACCAGCGGCGGGAAGCACCACCGGACCGCCGTAGCTCCACCCCACCGGGACTCCGCCACCTCTACACCGTCACTGCCACACTGCCACTGACACCGACGCCATGGACTCCTCGAGCTCGTCCACCAAGCCCGACGGTCTGTACGTCTCTCTTTCTCCTCTCTCACTCTCTCTGGATCCATGTGTTCTAGTTCTTTCATAACGAATGGAAGTTAAAATACCCACTGATCTACTCCTAGTCGATCCAAAAGTGTTAACAGGTGTCTCCAAAACGACCACTTGATAAGAATGTCAGGGCTGACTAGGCATTCGCGGTTAAGTTACTGGTTTGTCAAGAGCATTTCAGAAATGCTGAGGCAAAGAAATCCAAGGGAGCTGCAAAGAAGAAAGTTTTGGGTAACATATATAGTGGATTTCATTCTTTGCATGCCAAAGACAAATAGCAGCAATTCTAGTTTGTTTACTAGGAAACAGTGCGCACAATTGCGCAGCCTAATCTTGTAAGCTAAGTGTATGCAAATGTGAGAATAAAACCAAAAATATTTTGCTAGACTGATAGATCAAGATCATTAGAAGTATTTTCATATTTCTGGGCCTTGGATTTGGGCCTCGTGAGGGGGCTGGTCCTTCTCGTTGTGTCGGCTTGGCCTGCCTGCTTGCCTAATTAATGCAGCCCCATTATTTGAGTTGACATATCCAGCATTTGACTCTGCAGGATGCATGCATGAGCATGATGCCTTGTGATGGGTACTGTTACGGTTCATCTGTATCTGTATGGCCCTGTTTAGAACCCACCCAAAATCCAAAAAATTTCAAGATTCTCTGTCACATCAAATCTTACGACACATGCATGGAGCATTAAATGTAGGTAAAAAGAATAACTAATTACACAGTTTACCCGCAATTGGCGAGACGAATCTTTTAAGCCTAAATAGTCCATAATTGGACAATTTTTGCCAAATACAAACGAAAGTGCTACAATAGCCAAAAGCCAAAAATTCTAGGTAAATACATGTTTATATATAAGCTTCTTTGATCTTATTCCAATTGTTGCTTTGATGCTCCAGATTTCTTTGAAAAAGTTGTTCACATTTTCACTTATTATTATGGATAGATTATGTTATTTTAACCTATCAAGGTTCAACTGCTTCTATAATAACGTCTATTATCTAAAAGGAAAAAGAAAAAGAAAGGGAGCAAATACATATGTGAGGCGGCAGCTTAAATTACTTTTTTGGGGATATTTTAGGCTTAAATTTCGTACAAGAGGAGAAAAAAAATGCTTCGATGACTTCATTGAGTGTTTTTTTACTCCCAGCTTTCCTGTGGCAACTCATGAGGACTAGTATCCTACAATTGCTAAAGAACTTGAGATCCCACTCTAAAGAGAAAGAGATCACAGATGCTGACATTCTCATTTGGGCTAATAACAAGGTCAAGGAATCAGGCAAAACTTCCCATATTGAAAGCTTCAAGGTTCATCGACCGACCTTCACCATTTTGGCTAAATTGAGCTATCCTGTTATGTGCATAACATTAAGCTGTCCTATTGATTCTCTAGGACAAAACAATAGCAGATGGGGTGTTCTTTCTTGAGCTCCTAAGTGCTGTGCAGAGCAGGGTTGTTGACTGGAACATGGTGAAGAAGGGGGAGGATGGTTTGTATCAATTTCATGTATATATTGTGTTATCCTGTGAATTTTCACGAGTACCATGTCATTTGCATTCATGGTTGCAGAGGACGAGAGGAAGCTGAATGCAACATACATAATCAGTGTTGCTAGGAAGCTAGGTTGCACTGTCTTCTTGCTGCCTGAAGACATAATGGAGGTAACAATAGAATGCTGTATTAGTTGCACATATAAATTCGGCAAAGATGATATATAAACAATAACTTCCTTATAACAAGCTTATATAAGTCAACACTAGGCATACCAGTGGTCTCTCTCAGCTCAACCTCCGTCGTCCGTCCTATGAGGCAGTGAAAAGAACAGTATTTTTTTTTTCTGTTTGCACTGTCGTGGCAGGTGAACCCAAAGATATGATCCTCACCCTTACTGCAAGCATCATGTACTGGAGCCTGCAGAATCAAGGGCCTTACCAATGTCCAGGACCACAGGATGCTCTTCCAGAGGAAGAGGAAGGCGAGGAGGAAGAAGAAGAAGAAGAGGAAGATGAGGATTTTGAAGGAGGCGTCGAAGATGGTGTCTCCAAAACGACCACTTGATAAGAATGCCATGGCTGACTAGGCATTCGCGGTTAAGTTACTGGTTTGTCAAGGGCATTTCAGAAATGCTGAGGCAAAGAAATCCAAGGGAGCTGCAAAGAAGAAAGTTTTGGGTAACATATATAGTGGATTTCATTCTTTGCATGCCAAAGACAAATAGCAGCAATTCTAGTTTGTTTACTAGGAAACAGTGCGCACAATTGCGCAGCCTAATCTTGTAAGCTAAGTGTATGCAAATGTGAGAATAAAACCAAAAATATTTTGCTAGACTGATAGATCAAGATCATTAGAAGTATTTTCATATTTCTGGGCCTTGGATTTGGGCCTCGTGAGGGGGCTGGTCCTTCTCGTTGTGTCGGCTTGGCCTGCCTGCTTGCCTAATTAATGCAGCCCCATTATTTGAGTTGACATATCCAGCATTTGACTCTGCAGGATACATGCATGAGCATGATGTCTTGTGATGGGTACTGTTACGGTTCATCTGTATCTGTATGTAAGGTGTTTCTCTCTTTCAGTGTATTGGCAGCAGGGAAAAGATGTGTCAGCAGTCAGCTCTCTGCAAACGGGCACAGAAATGGTCGCCAGGGGGTATGCACAGACAGAACCGAAACGCAACTTGTGAGGCTCAATCTGGAACCAAAAGGAAGAACCATCGTCTAAGGTGGTGTTTGATCCGGCGACTAAAATTTAAGAGATGTGTCGGGAGGATGCTGCATGAAGTATTCGGATACTAATAAAAAAATAAATTACATAATCCGTCAGTACTCCACGAGACGAATTTTCTAAGCCTAATTAACCCATCATTAGCACATGTTTACTGTAGCACCACATTGTTAAAACATAGACTAATTCGGCTTAAAAGATTCGTCTCGTAAATTAGTCGCAAAGTATGTAATTAGTTTCGTAATTAGTCTATGTTTAATACTCCATGCATATGTCAAACATTCGATTGAACAGCGACTAAAATTTAGAAGGTGCGACCAAACCCCACCTAAAATGAAAATAAGAGAGCCAATGCAAGACTGAAGAGACAGACAGTGACTTTGTGGCCTTCCTTTCTGAGGTTGTCTTGTCTACGCTTCCTGATCTGAGGAGTATGCGAAGAAGTGTGCTACATAATACTCTACTGTTGTATGTCATCTTTAATCAAGTAAGCGCGTGTTTAGTTTCCACCCCAAATTCTCAAAAAGTGCTACAGTAGCCATCACATCGAATATTGCGATACATGCATGGAGTATTAAATATAGATGAAAAAAAACTAATTGCACAGTTTGGTTGGAAATTGCGACACGAACGTTTTGAGCCTAATTAGTCCATGATCAAACACTGATTGCCAAATAAAAACGAAAGTGCAATAGTAGCCCAAATTCCAAACTTCCCCAAACTAAACACGGCGTAAGCAACTTTGACCGGTCTTTTTTTTCCTGTTCCTGCTGAAAAGTAAATGATGATAGCATCAAAATCCACCTTTCTTTTTCCTCAATCTTTAGCCTCTGTTTTCTCCAGCATTTGTAAAATTGATCTCTGGTGGCTCACATTGTTGAGTGAAGTTAAGCTGAACTGCCTTTTTGCAATGTTCCAAACCAATAATTCTGAAATAATACAATTTTTGAACAAGTGTTTTGGGGTTTTCTGCTCAATCTTACACAGTTTAATTTGCACAGTGGATCAACCAAACAGACCTTAGCAGTGTTAGAAATTTGCAGCCAAGGTTTGCGGTTTATACCTGATGGTTGTACTCCTCCTCACTTGTGTGAGGTTTGATATGATATATATATTTCGGACTTTATTATCAATATGTAATGTGCTACCAGGAGAGCACGTACACAAAATCAAGTTTTGGTTGAGATACGAGTTCCTCTCGAAACTTAATTTTAAATTTTAACGAATTTATATTGTTGTGCTCTAAATCGACATGCCTTTGCAAAACTCATGCACACCACCTATTTTTTTGAACTATTATGAGACCTGACTAGGCCTGGAGCCCTGGACATAATGTGATTTAACATGCTCTTTCTGGATCAATGACAGGTGCTCTGTTTTCGTTCAGGCGATTGAAAATTAACGTAGGAGAGGTACGTTGTGTAAGCAATTAAGGCCCTGTTTAGGTCCTAATTTTTTTCATCCCAAAGTGTCACATCGAATCTTGCGGCACATGCATGGAGTACTAAATGTAGACGAAAAAAAATTAATTGCACAGTTCTCGGCAAAATCGCGAGACGAATCTTTTAAGCTTAATTAGTCCATGAAAAGTCTTAAGTGCTACAGTAACCCACATATGGTAATGCCCGATTAATTAGTATCATTAGATTCGTCTCGTAGTTTTCTGATGGGTTCTTTAATTTTTTTTTAATTAGTATCCAAAAACCCCTCCTAACATCCTTCCGACACATCCGATGTGACACAAAAAAATTTCACCTCACCAACTAAACACCGCCTAAGTATAGATCTCAAATTTGTGAAACTTTTTGCGATGTCGATCTATCAGTATATATGTATATGAAGAACAGGTTATGTATTAGTATAATGTCCTCTAATTTATTTATTCCATGGCATGCATTGTACATTAACCACACCATTTGGTCCAAGTAAGCAAGTACAACACCAAGAGAAATAGACAACACGACGACAATAGCTAGTGAGTCAAATCACCACACTAAGACGACGTACACACTACATAGACACATATGCATCTTTATTTATTCAAATCAAAACCAGACTTCTGCTGGCGACGTAGTAGAGTAGGCCCTATTATGGACATGGACGTAGTACTTATTAGCTACGATACGAGTCCATGCATCTTTTGATGCGGCTTCAGTTATGGACCTCGGTGAACTCCGGGCGGTACATGGGCTCCGGGATCTCGTCGGCGCGCGAGCAGCACCGGCAGCCGCCGTAGTACCCGCGGTTGCAGCATCCCCACCGGCAGTAGCCGCCGTGGCCGCCGCCAGGGTAGCCGCCCCCGCCCCGCCAGCCGCCTCCCGGGTAGCCGCCACGGCCGGGGTAGCCACCCCCACCGCGCCAGCCGCCGCCGGGGTAGCCGCCGCCACGGTAGTCCTGCACGTCAGCTTTGTTCTCGTCGTCCTTCCTCGGCTCTGCATGATCCAATCAATACGTAGTAGTACGTTACGTACACACATATATAGTGCAAGTTACAGTAAGTATATACCGAGCTACTTCGATTCATCAGCTAGCTTTGTTTTGCTTGAAAGCTGAAGCAGTGAAGCTAATCAAACTCACGGGTTTGCTCGTTAGCTGCTGAGGCGACAAGGAAAACGGCGGCGAGCAGGAGAGCGAACACGAGGAGTCGCTTGGACGACGCCATGTTTGTCTCTCTCTCTTTTCTCTGCAACTGCAATTGTACTGGATCAACTGCGAGTGTGTGATGAGAAGCTATGCATGCGAACGAAGCGTATTTATAGGCAGAACGAGGAGGCTGGATATGGCTACCGATCTTTCTGAGATCCATCGTCGTCGGCATGCAACTGTAGTAGGGCTACTAGGGGCCCATGGATAATTATAAGGGTTTGCCGTTGGGAGGAGATGGATGGCATTAACGCTGGCTTCTATCGTGCTTGCAAGTAGCCCAGCCGCCAGTGGCTGCGTGATCTCTCTGCCCGTTGAAATCTTATGCTCTCGGTGGGAAACATGCATGCAAGTTTGACTCGGAAGCATGCATGCGCGCATGAACTATTAACACGTGTACGTGTAGCAAAAATTGTACATGTAATAGGTTATCATGCAGGCATGATGATACTACGCATGCATTTATATTATGTAATAAATATGTTCAACTCGACGAACTGGATAAGGGAATCGTTCTTAAATAGCTAGTCTAGAAAGAATTCTATTGGCTATCAAGAAAAGAGATCAAACAGCTAGCGACTTCAGAATAGCTAGTCTAGCACGATCTTCTAGAAACAACTATCTCACAGCTTGCACAACCCTCAAATGTAATGTTTTTTTCTAGGCCTCATCTAGCTAGCCATTTGCATTTTGCCATTGAGAACGCCCTAAGCTAGACAACAACTCTCCTCCATCAGTATAAGGCATGCATCGATAATGAGAAAAATAGTATCTAGATGGTTTTATCCACATAAGGTCAAATTCCATAGCATTGTGAGATGACTTTGTGGTCTAGTGGGAAGATAACCTGATTTCTTTCTTGTTTTGCCTCTCTAAAGCATTTCCACCAGAACCTCTTTCCCCTTTCTCCTTAAAATCAGGTATAGGGGATTGAGAAAACTGAATTATAGAATTTAAGGGATATGTGCTCCAACAGAGAGCATAGGACATTTATGGAGACATCATCTTGAACATGATTCTAGCAGAGATCAAAAGGTATGAGTGAAGACACGAAGCAAAATTTGTCATCTTGAAGAAAGAATTGAGTTCTATGCCCATTGGAGTTCTATATAAGCCCTCGAAAGCAAAAAAACATGGTCAATACACTGGGAGGTAATCATCATGATGAGTCAAATTTGGTTCCGAGAGAATGTTTTTTTAGTATGCAAGCTTAACTAAAAACAAGGGGGCATATGCTGACAACCAAAGTTGTGTCCAAAGGAGGTGGATCGTTCTAGGATGATATGGGACAAATAGCCTAGCTGGACTTGTTTTTGGTAACCTTTTCAAATGACAAGATGGATTCCACCATTGCATTCCTCTTGAATAGGTGATTGAAATGCATATATAGAACGTCCAATTTGGAGTTTGGATGAGAAAACTATGGCTTCAGGAAGATACACCTCGCAAAAATCGGCTAAGCCAGTTTTGGTAGGCAAATTCGAGTTTAGAGTTGTATTTTTATGTGATTTGTAAGGGTTTTTGACCCCTCACAGGATAAGTTCACCCTACCATGTATAATTGTTCGTCTCTTGATCTGACGATCAAAGGTGGCACTTGAGGCTTGCTCACCAACATAGGGAAACTTGTCGACGTCCACGCCATGACGAGGGCCCCTACCTGATGAAAGCTTTGATTATTCCTTTGCTAGTTTC